TTAGTATAATATATATATATATATATAATAATAATAATAATATATATATATATATATATATATATATATATATATATATATTAATCAAATATAAAAAATACATTATAAGGGAATTTATTTCCTTTTAAAATATGTTAAAAGTTCCAAACAATAGTATATTTATCTATATAGCTAATAATAAACTTTTCTTTTTAATTTGTAGTTTCATCAAACTTAGCATTTTAAAAATTTCCTTGATATTTTAGCTAATCCTAATAGCTCAATTAAATTTTCAAAGGAATTCTTCTATCTTCAAACTTAATTGTATTTAAATAAGCATCTTTTTCATTTTCTTAAATAGAATAAGTTGGTAATAAAATAACATATTTATCACAAGTACCGAGAAGCCATTTTCCATCTTTACTAATATCAATATGTGTAATTTTATCTATCATTATTTTATATAAATATTTTAATTTTATATATTTAAATTCAATAATAAAATACCTCCAAATCCAGGTAATAAATTCTTAGCTTTTTATCCCACTTCTTTATATAATCTAATACATCCATCATTACCTCCTACAGCAAAATTTCCATTTACATTACTTTAAATACAAGTCAACTTATTATTTTTGCTATAAATTTTTTCTTTTTCCACAATATCAGACAAGGCTATTCCATTAGATTTCCTAGGATCCATTAAAAAAAGATTTTTATCATTTAAACAATAAAACAACTCATTATTTGTTAAATCACTATGTTTTGCATAATTACAAATATCTTTTAAAGTATTTTCTTTACAAGTAAATTCTTATGTAGTTTTTCCAGTTTCTATATCAAAATAATAAGCTTTTTATTACTCAAGTGGATTTAAAAGAATGAATTTTTTATCTTCATTTTGAATTAATATTCTGTTAGGTTCAAAAACTTGATTTTCAATTGTTTTAATTATAGGTAATGAATTTATATACTTTTTGATTTTATATGTATAAATATGAATATATATATAAAAATAAATATATAATATATATATATATTTATATATATATATTTGTATATATTTATATTTTTCATTTTTTACTTCTAAATTTTATTTTTAATCAAAAGATGTTTTATATACTTCTATTATTTCTCCTTTAGAAACAAATGTTCTGTCAAATAATTTGGCTTATTAAATTTATCTTATTTCTGATTAATTTTTAACTTTAGATTATTATACAAGATCAAACTCTTCGTCTATTTCACATTAATTATTATCTTCTTTATCCAAATCTAAGTCTTTTTTAAAATTTTAATGTTTTTCTTCATCCATTGTTTCATAATACTTTTATTAAAATTCGATTTCTTCTTTTTTGAAAGCTTTTTAGAATTCTCTTTTAGTTTTTTATTCATAATATAGTTAATGAATATTAAAATAAACTATTTTCTCAGTTTATTATATGTTAAATTTAAATTTGTTAATAGACATTTATCCATCAGTAAAATCTATCCATTCAATAAAATTTTCAACTTAGTTAATATTAATACAAAAACCTTCCTTTATTTCATATTAATGATACAGTTTAGAATTAGATTAAAAAATTTATATAAAAATTTATAAATTTTCACTTTAATATAAAGTAAATATGAATTCCTATTTATTTTAAATAAAAAATATAAAAGTATAAAAAAAAAAAAACATTGTTTAATTCATTTAAGTTTTGAACAAATTTTCCATAATGAGCTTATTTAATTTCTTTTTTTTATTTTAAATATTCTAAATGTATTAAATGTTGATATTATATTTCCAAAATAATCAACTTTTCTTAGCAAAATAATTAATAAAACATAAATAAAATATTAATATATAAATATATATATATATATATATATTCATATATATTTATATTTATATATTTTTATATTTTTATTATTGTTTATATAAATAAATATATAAATAAATATTTCTTATATTTTTTTTTACTTTAAATAATAATTAAGTACTTCTTAATCATCTTAAGTAGGTAATTTTTTATGCTCCTCAATAAAAATAAGTTTAGAAAGACAATCTTTAAATTAATTAAATTATTTTTAAAATTATTAATCCAAACAGAACTTCATTTAAATTCTAATTATATTTATTAATTTAATTTAATAAGAAAATATTATTATATTTTTTATTTATTTTTACCTTTATTTTAATGTTATAAAGAAAACTATTTTATTTTTGTTTTCTTATCTATTTTTTTTTAATATATATAAAAGATAAAAAAGTAATTAAATATTATATATATATATTACTCTCTAAAATCTAATTAATAATCTAAAGGAAAGTATAATTCTTCTTTGTTGCCAAAAATTTTTATAAAGAACTAAAACTCTTATTTTTCATCGCTAGTAAATTATAAGGTTGCCTCATCAAATCTATTTATATTTATTATTATTTTTTTAAACAGAAAAAAATAAATGTATGTATAATTATATTTATAAAAAAAAAAATAACATTAATATTTCTTAATTTTCTTCTTATCTATATAAAGAAACTTTTTATAATTCAAAATCTTTTATATAAAAAGGAAGACTTATTTAAGTATTTGGTATTTTTCCAAAAAATTATTTTAAAATATCCATTTTTATTTTATGTTTATAATGAAATTAAAAATTATAATATATATTATAATTATAAAATTATCAATAAATAAAAAATATCTATTTTAAAAAAAAATATATATATATTTTTTTTTTTATGTTAAGACAATATTTTTAATACACCTTCTTTTAAATATATAAATTAAAATAAATTAATAGAAACATATAATATATATATAAATTTATATATATCTAAACATTTCTTTAGTTTTATTAATAAAATAATATTAAAATATAAACATATATAATTAATATATATTAAAAAATATAATTTAATAAAGAAAAAAAAAAAATATCTTTTGTATTATTTTTTATAATTTATAATATTTATACCACAAACATATTTTATATAAAAAAAAACATTATAAATATATTTATATATAAAATATAATTAAATTCTATATAAATTGAATACACATTAATCATAATATTAAAAACAATAAAAAAAATATTTTAAAATAAATATTTTTTTTTTTTTATTTTTTTTCAAAATACATAATATTTATAAAAAAAAAATACTTAATATAATTAATTAAATAAGAAATAAAAAAAAATACAATATAATTTTTTAAACACTATTTAAAATTATAAAAATTTCAAAATTAAATCATATAAATATTAAATATATATATATATATATATAAATAAAAATGGACTACAAGATCAATACAATAACATATGATCCAAACTTAAACGAAGAGGGTACTTAGGTACTATATTCACGCTTAATAGACGTTGAACTACGTTTATTACATTAAGATCTATCCGAAAACATAGTAGGAAGTGATAGTTTACAACTTCGAATATTAGGCAATGATAATTATTTTAAATTAGAATTAACAAGTGATGTGGATATATTTTTTAATTATATAAAAACTTTTGATTAGGAAAGTTATAAAATATTTAAATAAGAGGAATAATTAAATATTGAATATAGCGATTTTATTGTAAATTTTATCGAAATTTTAAACAATGCGATTTAATCCGAAAACGAAAAAATTATTTTTTTAATGCAAAGTGGAAAACCACTTGGGAATTTAGTCTTTTTGTAAAATTTAGGACATAAAAATATGATTTTGTTGAATATTATTATGAATTTAGGTTCCTATGAGTATGTTAAGTAAAATATATTGTTTAGATATGCATATATTAGGAATTAAATTGAATAAAAGAATAATAACTAATGTAAATAAATGAATATATTAAATTTAAAAATCCGAATTTGCTCAATGTAGTATAAAAACATCTTAATATATAAGTATAAATGGAAAATGAATAAAATAAAAATAAATAGAAAAATAATTTTTTACGAAAAGAGCCTTTTTATTGAAATAAATTTGATTTTTTTTAAAAAAAAATTAAGAAAAATATTAAATAATGAAACAAAAATTAAAAATATTGTTATATAAAAAATAAATTAATTTTTAAATTTTATTTTTATAAAAATATATTTTTTATATAGAAAAGTTTATCAAAATATATATAAAATATGTCTATAATAAAAAAATATAATTAAACATTAAAAAATAAATATAAATATATACAATTTTAATATAATATATATATTTTAAATCTATATTCACATTATATATATATATTTATTTTATTTTTCTAAAAAAATAAATAAATAAAATATAAAGTATTTGTTAATAAATAAGATTAAATAAAAATACTAAATACCATATATATATATATTTTTGTGTCTAAATATAAATACATTTTTTTTTATAAAAAAATAAAAAAATAAAAAAAAATATAACTATGTAACAACCATTTTACTCAAATCAAGATTAATCCCAATAAGACATTCAAATAAACAACCCATAACAACTTCCCTAAGATACCGTTTCCGAGATAAAATTTTCTCCTCAAGACCCGACCATATTTGCCTGTTCAACCTGGGATGGAAAGATCTTCGTATATAAAATCCAAGCATAATAAATGAGTGTAAATCAAGTATAAGGTAATTTCCAATAAGTAGCATTTTTTTAATACTAAGAACCTATAACATGTATAGCTTGGAGACTTGATAGTTAAGTAATATATGGTGGATGTGGTGACTTTTCTGTGCGTTCATTTAATTTATAATATAATTAAATAGCATAAATAGGTTTTTTATCATAAAAAACATATAATATATAAAATATATAATAGGATAACATTAGGCGGGAATAAAAGCTGTATTTTTTGAGTCAAATTTAAATAATTCCATAATATCATGTTCGTTTGATTGTTCAGTATGTTTTTGGAGTGAATAAAATCCAAATTAACCAATAATGAAAATTTAATTAAAATCTAAAATATTTGCTGCTGATGAAGCTTTTCCGATATTGGCTTTGGGTTTATAAGGTGAATAAATTACGTTTATTAATTTAAAATAAAATATCTCTATGTTTAATTCTAATTAACTAAATTATGTATAATCGCCTTTAGGATTGGGAAGCTAATTAAATACGATTAAAATTTTTACTAAATTAAATGGATTTGCAATAGGATCAATTGATGGAAGAGTTCATTTAGGAAAAATTGTACTGAAAGGAGACTAATATAGCAATGAAAATATAATGACATTTAAATGTCATAAGGTTGAAGAAAAAGCAAATGGAATAACTAATTAAATACTATATCCAATTAATAATATATGCTTTAATCCAAGATCGGATGCATTTTTAACTACTAGTGGGTCAGATGGATTTATTTATTTTTGGGATTAAGAGGCAAAAAATAAAATTAAGACTTTCTCATTTAATAAATAACCAGTATCTGCAGTAAGTATTTCTTAAAATGGATAATTTATGGCATATTCATTAGGCTATGATTGGTATATGGGTTATGAATATGTTAATGATTTCTAAAAACCGAAAGTTTGTGTACATTTTATATAAGATGATGAATTAAGATGCAAAAAATGAGAAAAAAATTAAATTAAAATTTATATAATTATATTTGATTTTTTATTATTGTTGTTATTATTATTATTATTATTATTATTATTATTATTATTATTATTATTAATTTTATTATTAATATTTTATCAAATTAAAAATGTTTGAAATTACCATTTTACTACAAATTATTATAGAATTTGCAATTGGTAAGAAACTCAACTTTTTTATTGCGAATTGTTCTGATGTTTTAGTCATTTTTTATTTCCTAAAACAAGGATAGAGTTCGCTTTACTAAATTTTTATTCTCTTTTTAATTTTGTTAATTTATAAATAATAAATTTTATTATTTTTTTAATATATATAAAATAACTAAATATTATATTAAATTAAAATTTTAATAATTTTTTTTATTTATGGTTTTTATATAAAAATATATATTTTATTTATATATATATTTTTTTAAATAATATTTTTTTTTTTATTTTATTAAATTATTTTTTAATATTTCTTTTATTATTTAAATAAAAATAAACAAAATTAATAAATTTATAGAAAATTAATTTTAAAAGCTATTATTTAAAATTAATAAAAAACTACAAATAAAAATTATTACTTAATATAATTTTTTAATAATATCATAAAATTATATACATATAAAATATATTTTCTTTTATAATATATTAATATATTATATATTAACAAGATTACATAAAAAATTAATCAAATATTATTATTACTTTTTATCTTTCATAATTTTATTTTATTTTTTTTTATAAATTTATACTTTTTTACATATTATTATCATTTAAAATATTTTGAATCTTTTTTTTTTTTTCTTTCTAATTACTATAAATAAAATATTATTTAAATATATAAAAGTTTATAAATATTTATATAATTTTATATTTATAAATGCTTTTTTATAATTTAAATTTATATTATGAAATAGTTCAATCATTTGCCATATAAGTAAAATAGTTAAAAATATATATTTATATTTTATTAATATTATATAAAACATATTTTTATTAAATTTTTATAATATTAATTTATTATAATTTTCATATAATTATTTTTTTAGTTATATAGTTTTTAGTTTTTTATATTTTATATAGTTATAAACTATTATATTTTTAAATTTTAATTAAAAATTATTACTTTTTGATATAAATAATATAATAATAAAAAATACATAAATTTTTAAAATTTGTTTATTATTTTTCAGATTTTTTTATAAATAAATTTTAAAATATATATTATAGATTTTTTATATAAAAATACAGTAATTAAATATAGCTTTATTTATCTTATTAAATTTAACATATTGATATAAATTTGTAATTTATATATTATTTTATACAATCAAAAAAAATATATATTTTTAATTTATTCATTTGTATCTATAATTTTGTCTTACATTCATTCATACTTTACTAAAATATAATTAGATCTTTTATTTAATAATTACATAACTTAAATAATTTTAAATTAAAAAATTAAAAAAAAAAAAATGTTATTAAAGTACATATCATACTTTTAATAATCTATTAAAAAAATCTGCACTAAAAAAAACTACATAATACTATGAAAATGACTTTAAAATAACATAGTTTCAGAAAGACTTCTATCCACATAACCTTGATTTTTTTCTATCATAGATTTTATATTTTCATAAACTATAACACAGGAAACAAATGAATATTTAGTAAATATTAATAGACATAACTTAGTTATTTTATAAAAATTTAATTAAATTATGATAAACCCTGGAAAAAATATATTCCCTTAAAAAAAATAGTCTATAAACTGCTATAAAACGAGAAATTGAAATTCCCCTGATTCCAATTTACATATATACGTAATATACTAAGATAATTCCCTTTTTTCAATACTTGCCAGTTCTGCATTTTGCACAATCTTCATGTTAATATAATTCAATATAGATTTAATAAAAGAAATCACAGACTCTAAATTCAAAAGCCACAATTCATGAAATAATGGATATTTTTGAATTTTTAAATATATATTAATAAATATAAATATTATAGATATGAATTCTTCAGAACTATTGTTTAAATTCTATCTGCTAATGATGACTATTATTTT